ATTACTGATTATTTCCAGGCTCGCAACAGTGAATCGTTTCGCACTGGGGCGGGTCTGAGGTACTAGTGAGATGTGGTTGTTAACCTGATATCCGATAATGTGAACCTTGACTCTATGTGAGATGTGAACCAGTGACCTATTATAGGATGGCTATTTATATGACCTCGTTTCATGGCTAGGTATGATTTCTTGTGAGAGATAGTCCAGTTGTGTTTCTTTTCATACATAGATCGGGATTAATATTTAATTATTTATAATTCGAGACATATGGTATATACATGAGGGTTTCCTTGTTTGGATTATTTCGCTCAACGTACTACGTCTCGAGTTATAGATTTTTAAGTATTAATTTTATCTAGTTGTATGACCTTGTGACTTGTATGATTGTTCTGATCGCTAGCTGCACGACCTCATTACCTGTTCGATTTTTGGATTCTTCTAATTATCATGTTTTAGTAGTGTTATTGCAAGTGGACTTTGTTGGATTACCAGTTGCACGTTCTTTTGTCATTTTTGTTATCGTATCGTTTTCCGCTTGGGTTTTCGTTCGTTCTTTTCTTTTGTGGGGTCTTGCCGTGTGCCATGCACGCTAACGTACACCTGTTTTCTCTGGTGTACGTCAGACTTAGAGAGAGAACATGTCCAGCTTAGAGATACGTCAGAGCCAGGATATTCTCAGTAGGAGTACCCTGTAGATGGAGCAGAAGAATGAGTCGAAGCCTGTTTCTTTCCATTTATTAGTTGATGGTTCTGTTTACTCTTGTAGTACTTCCCATTTCAGTTTGAACGATGTATTATATTTCTCTAGTATTCATTTGTTAATTTTGTATAAGGGCATGTTTGACCCATATTTTTATGTCTCGGATGTTATCCCATTTGTGATATGATATTTCTTTATTCTGAAGTTGTCTATTATATTCTTGCTGATTGTGATCGGAGACATGTGACTTCGTATTGTATTTATTTCCAGACGCTTAGCGTATTGGATTGAGAAGAAAAGAAAAGAAAAAATGATAGTGTATATTTCTTCTCAATCTAATATGTCGCGGGCTTGTTCACGTTCTGATTCCCGGGTTTTTTGGGAAGCGAGGCGTAACATGCTAAGAAGGACCCAAAGTAGAAAGCGGTTATGCACGAGGAGCTAGGGGATCTTGAGAAGAACCGTACTTGAGAGTTAGTAAAACTACCAAGAGGGAAGAAAGCAGTTGGATGCAAGTGGGTTTTCACTATGAAGCAGAATCCAGATGGATAGGTTGAGCGCTACAAGGCTCGTCTGGTGGCAAAATGGTACAATCAAACATATGACATCGACTATGATGAGACTTTTGCACCGGTAGCGAAGATGAGCACTGTTCGGACCTTGATTTCTCTGGTAATAAATGGTGGATGGAAGCTACACCAACTAAATGTGATGAATGTATTTCTTCATGGAGATCTAGTGGAAGGGGTATACATGGAGATACCACCAGGATTCGATACAGATCAGACAATGGGCAAGGTCTGTAAATTGAAGAAGTCTTTCTGTGAGCTGAAGCAGTCTCCTCGTACATGGTTCGACAGATTCAGACGGGCTATGATAGGTATGGGGTATCAGCAGATTAACGTCGATCATACCGTGTTCTTTCGACAGAATGGAGGCCACATTACCATGCTTACGGTATATGTGAATGATATGATTATTACAGGGGATGATGAGAAGGAGATTGCCCAACTCAAAGTGAGACTGTGTAAGAAATTCGAGGTGAAAGATCTTGGCTTGTTTCGATACTTTCTTGGAATAGAGATAGCTCGAGGAGTGGAGGGGATTGTCCTATCCCAAATGAAGTATGCACTGAATCTTCTCAAAGAGACAGGGATGTTAGGGTGCAAACCTGCAACTACACCGATCGACCAGAAGTTCAAACTGGGTGCTGAGGCTGGAGAACCAGTTGATTGTGACAGATACCAGAGGCTGATGGGCAGGTTGATCTATTTGAGTCACACACGTCCCGATATCTCTTTTGCAGTGAGCATGGTGAGTGGCTACATGCATGATCCGAGGAAGGGTCATATGGACGCAGTGTACCAGATTCCGAGGCATTCGAATGCCCCCGGAAAAGGGTTGATATTCAGGAAGAATGAACATGTGAGCATTGAGGGTTACTGTGACTCTGATTAGGCTAGCTGTGCTGATGACAGGAGGTCCACCTCAGGATACTGCATCTTTATAGGAGGTAACTTGGTCTCGTGGTGGAGCAAGAAGCAGTCAGTGGTGGCAAGATCGACAGCTGAAGCAGAGTATAGAGCTATGACCTGGGAGTTACGGAGTTATTGTGGTTGAAGAGTATGCTGGTGGAGCTGAAGCTGGATCAAGGAGCAAAGATAAAACTGTGGTGTGATAACAAGTCAGCCATCAGTATCGCCAACAACCCAGTACAGCATGATAGAACCAAACACATCGAGATAGATAGGTTCTTCATCAAAGAGAAGTTAGATAGTGGACTACTGGAGTTAAGTCATGTTCCAACTAAGGACCAGGCAGCAGACTGTCTGACTAAGGGACTTAGCTCAGTAGATATGATTAGAGGATGTGACAAGATGGGCTTAGTGGATATCTTTCGCCCATCTTGAGGAGAAGTGTTGACATATTAATATATCTAGGGGGTTATTTGTAAGTTGTTTTTGTAGGGGCCTATATAAGCCCAAGTTATCTCAACAATAAGATTAGGGTTTTCTCTATTTTCCTCAAATTCCATGCATGAATTAATTACCTTTATTGCACTATCAGTTTGTAGCCAGATTGAGGAAGATTCCTGTTGAATTCTGAATCCTGAAACAACTTGATAAAATCTGAATCCCTTCCTCTCTATTAACATATTCATAAAACAAGAATGATCTCTGAGCATATAAATAACAGAATTTATTTGACACATCAATAGTTCACATACAATCATATGATAAGGGTAAATGGTCATGGAAGGTATTGATAGCTTATATACCTGCAAATTTAGCAGAACTTTTTTCCTTAATGTGGGTTGATGGTGGATGCCATTCATATAGGTAATCTAGCAGAACTTTCTTTCTGCTATTCTGTAATAACTTTGAAATTGAGAGGGTTGTCGCTGGTTACAAAAGATAAGGGTATATGGTCATGGAAGGTATTGATAGCTTATATACCTGCAAATTTACCTTTTAAATCTAAATGGCAAGGCCGTCTCCTTCTCATAGTCATTTTAGCCAAGAATTTTACTGAAAAATTTTCAGCATTGGCAGCAGGTAGATAGATCTAGGCAATTGTTTTGTCGAACTCCTTGAATTATGGTCCACTATGACCCGTGCTATTGTGGAAATGCTTGGATGGTGTAATGATAAATATTGTCACATGATGCATATACATTTGGAATATTTAAGATGCTTGGATAATGGGTGATGATTATTGTTAAAAGACCGTGTTTACATTGGAGGTTCTGTTACGATTATCGATATTTTGTTGAGCTATGTAAATGCTTAGCAGGTTCTCTTTTCAACTGAGGTGTTTGCTGAGAAAGCACTAGGATTGCATGTATAGCTTTCTTGTTTTAAAAAAAGAAAAGAAAAATTCTGCAGGAGACTGTACAAGCTCAATGACCAATAACAGTGTTCCGTCTATTCTCTCCTGTATTTCTTCACATACTGCCACTATTCTTAATTTGTTGATTCCAAAAGTTCTCGAGATATTGTGTTCACCTTCTTTCATGTCTTCTCTTTTTCTCCCCTCCATCATTTTGCAGTGGGGATATGTTGTGGTCACAACTCCTAATGGCGTTTTGGATCATGAGGAAGCCATCAAGCAAAATGTTGGTGGTCAAGTTCTTGGATATTTCCATTGAAGGGATGGGATCCTTCTGTCTCTGATAGCTTGAAATTATGGCAACAATTGCAGTTTTTCCTTCAACAGAGTGGCTTCTTTTTGGTATGCTATCGTCTTGTATTGCTCTCTCCTAAGGAAATCAGATTTCTTTTATGTGCAACAGGAAGCAGTAGCTAACAGGAGTCGGTGAAACACAGACACTAGCTTCGTGAAAAGCTTACAAGTGATGGGTTTTGTTTAAAGATAGTACAACTGTTTCTTTGATACGTCTTGTGGGCTACCGCGGTCTTCTGCTTTATCGCTGCAATAAGCTTGAAATATATATTTCATCGTGTAACATTAATGAAAATGGCTGTTTATGTGATAGGATAATGCTGATGCAAAAATGCTCACTAACAAATAAGCTATTGACTGCGAGTAAGCGAGTAAGGGTATGCCACTTGCAGTTGTTTTAATTATTGTTAGCAAGGTTTGCTGTTGCATTTGATAGCTATCCCTTTTGTCTATAGGCTCTGATGAAAAAGAAATTGTTGAAAAGTGCTTTATGCACTCTCTCTTCGCCTCCAAAGTTTCGACACCCCAAACTACTGATAATAATGTCACACTAACTATCGTTAGGATTAAAGAGAATTTGTAGAATGTTTTATTGTGAATCTGATGAAACAATAGCTTGGCATGCAATCAGATTGAGCTTCAACGAGAGGCTCTGCATTTGTTCACATCTAGCGTTATCATCGCTTCTTCTAAGAAGCAGCCTGTGGGTTTGAGGGTTGGCTGAGGACTTCACCTGAGGGAGGGATAAAAAAGAAGAAAAAGGCAATGTGGTCATCGAACTTTCTTCAGATTCGAGCCATTTCAACTCAACATCTATGCCGCAATATAGCTGGAGCTGCTACACCACTGCTCATTGTCTGCTCCATGCATGCTCCATGGGCTAGAAACAAAATATCAACGGAAGAAATTTTACCTTCCACACAACTATCTTAACTGTGTGTTGCCTATATTAATCATCAACTTCATGTATACGTTACAGGGTTACTTACACAGTGCCTATGAAACTTGCGGGGTAATACAGACATATATATATATGCCAGGCTACTAGGTTTCACAAAGCCTAGATGTTATTAGCAGCAATAGACATTACAAAGGAAGTACTAGGAAATCAGCAGAATAAAAACCTTGATAAAGTATTTCATACCGTATATCATCACACATGATCTTCAAGGAAGGTATATCATCATACACACTGTGCTAAATCAAATGCTATACAATTAAAGCATCAACCCCTTTCACAGCAAGTATACAAAACAAAGCAAATGGCTCTACAGCTACTTTTGCTCTTCATCACTCAATTCCACAAGGGAAAATAGAAAATCAGTGGAAAATCAAAATACAAGCAAACAAATTGCTAAAAGAATAAAACAAACAAAACTAATAAGTGTATGGAAAGTGGAGGAAGAAGACACTCGTCAAACCAACTTTTAGTAACTAGGAATTCATGTTGTTGTCTGTACAACTCTTCGCGGGTCCTTATTTCTTTTACAGTTTGGACTCCAATTTATCAAATGTGACAAGATCCAGCTGCAGAGTCATAATCGGTGTCAAGTTCTGCATTATTATACCTGGGATTTTACCTGGAACAATGACAAATTTAAATCAATTAAGTACAGTCATGTAAAGAATGGCAATAATAATAACAAAATATTAGAGAACTGAAGCTATTTTCTTTCCTTTTTTTAATTTTTATTTTTTTACCCTTTTGGTTTACAGTTTGGACTTCAGAAACAGCGATAACAATATCTGATGGAAGATCTTCATCCCTAATATTGGCCTTTAGGCTCGTAACAAAATTTGCTTACCACCCCTTAAAATAACACTGGAGGGTGTTATCTTTTTTCTTAGCGCGCACACACAGAGAGAGAGAAAAAAAAAGCACTTTTACATCATTAACGTCCAAAGCTGCCTAACCAACCCACATGAGTTGAAGACCAGCTTATAAAAAGTAAAGACACAGAAGGTAATCAGGGATAAAAAAAGATACTGGGAGGTTTCTGGCTCATACATGTTGAGCTTTCAAATTGAACAGTTCAGCAGCCAGCAGGTCTAATACATGAAATTATGATCGGGAAGCATCCAATTTACTTGATATTGAATTATGTTTTTTTTTTCAAAGAACACTATCAGAAACAGTGGCATTTGTATGCACTGCATTTTATCATCTCGCTAGAGTTGCAAGTGGCCTTGGACCCAAGACAACCTACCCAACCATACTATAATGCAGTGTACAGAAGAAGTGACTCACAGGAAAGCCCCGCGAATTGATGACAATGTAAGACGGTTTATCTTAGTGTACTCATCATTGTATCTGTGAGTACGCCTCCTTCCCTGCTAAATATATGTGAACGCACATATATATGAAGGTACATTTGTGTGTGTGTACATACATATTTTATATACACACATATACACGTGTACATACATGTGTATATGTGTAACTGCCTGTATTCTCATTTTGGCTATCTGAGCCCTAGTAGTTTTCATAACAAGTGCTTTAGTAGCCTTTTATTGCAGATGTCAGAGCTATCTCCGTCTATTCTCCATCATGCTAACTTCTGGACACTGTAGATGTTTCTCATCATATCTTATACAATGTTGCCCTTCGTATATCAGAGCTTTCTCATTCCAACTTCACTCAAATTCTTGCGGGAGAAGGTGCGTGCTTACTTTACTCCTGTTGCCATGAAACATATGCCTGATTTGAATGCTGGACCTGATGGTATACTTTCAGTGGTATCATTAATTGCTTTTAGTTAAGCTTGACATGCAAACTTTACATCAGAGTTTTCCTTCAAATTTCATGTTTCATTTATCATGGAAATGCAACAACTAATACCGGGTATGGATAAACCATGAAGACAGTAAGAAGAAAACAAAGGATGCAAGATTCCCAACTTCTTACTCTTCTTCATCTACAAACATAGTCTTTTAAAAGGTATCTTAAACTGGGTAGAGAAAAACAATGAAGGCAATAAGAAGAAAACAAAGATGCAAGATTTCCTCATATTGCAGTTCATCTATAAGTAGTCTTTTAAAAGGCAATTCCGTGGTCTGCAATGCACCTGATATAGTCGATGATACTTTATAAAACTGGTCCTTGCATTTTGCACAGAATTTCCTCATAGTTCCTTTTTTCAATCTATACAATATTTTCTTCAAATTCTCCGTTGAGACCTACTTTAATTGTTTCTCATACGTCTTAACAGGCTCAGGCTGTGCTTTTACTTTATAAAACTGGTCCTCACATTTTGAGGAGAATTTGCTCATATTTCATTTTTCTCAATCTATAAAATGTTTGCTTAACATTCTTTGTTGTGACCTATCAAACTTTTAAAATTTTTTCATTATGTATAATCATCTGGCCTCTTACCCTACAAAACTGGTCCAGACATTTTGGGCGAGAATTTCATCCTATTTCCTTTTTCTCAGGCAATAGAGTGTTTGCTTCACATTCTTTGTTGAAGACCTACTTAAATTTTTAAAAGTTTCACATAATATCTTGTAAGCTGGTTTTTACAGATGATCGCCCAAAGGTACCATCATATTATGTTGTTACCTCTAAAAAACATCAAAAGCTACACTATAAACTTGAGGTCCTATACGAAAAAATTCTAACAACAAAACATAAAGGAAAATTTTGACTTATTATGGGCTTAAAATAGCAAGAAATATAGGTGTACTCCATCTTCCTACAGAAAGCATGGGCCACTCTGTTTCAGAAATAAATCTTTCTTCTTTTTTATTTTTCCTGGTAAAGAAAGTTATCCTCTTAACATATATCTTTAACCAAACATATTTGAACTCCATAAAGTCATAGGTTGAACTCATCACTCTTGAGATGCAATGTCCTGTATAGAATTCAAAAATGCACAAAAGTTAAGAGTAACAAGTACGACCAGCCTAACATATTGCTGATAATCACAATTTACATCAAATTGGAAAATATACTGTCAGTTGTAATTGTAAGTGATAATTCAGCGAAGTGATAGAAGTTTTTTCCTACAACTATTCCAACACATTACAAGTTAAAAGAGCAATTCAACTAAATGAAGTAAGACTAGTTGAAAAGTTTATAACGTAAAACACAATAGGTCATATTAGGAAGATTACCTGTGAGATAAGAACATGAAGGTTCATGCCACATTATGTTCTCTTAGTGTGATCCCAATTTTCCGTAATTCTTGTAGGTGACAAGCAATCTCTTGAATATATTGTACCCCATCATAGCCATTTCTAAGTGTGTTAACAATGTTTTCAAGAAACCCACTATCTGCTTCTAGATCCTTCAACCTCTCGTTTAATCGTGAAACTTCATTTAAAAGGGCTGCTAAATTACTCGAGGTTCGGTTTAGATACTCATCAGCGTTACTAGAATCTGAAGGTATTAAAGCTTCTCTACGGTTTTTTTCGATACTTTCATCTCTGTATGATATACCAAGATACCCATCTTCTTCAGTACCAGCTGAAGAAACATCAACCTGCATCCCACTGTTGGAGAACAAATTAAGTCTTCTCTCCAACCTCTTCAAGCGGTCTGAAATATAAGCCTTCTCATCTTCAAAACCAATCAAGAGGTTCCCGTAAATATCTGATTTTCTCTGATCAAACTTGTCAGAAACTCGGGATATCTTCCTTTCATATTCAGTTGCCTTTGCATCACCAGAAGTTTCCAAAACACTGTCCACCACTATTTTGTTACCAAAACGCTTCTTGCAGCATTGAAGTTCAGCTTCAACATCTTGTATCTCTTTCTCTCTTTTAGCAAGCAGCTCATTTGAGTATTGAAGCGATTCTTGGTCATATTCTGCTTGTTCTTCCATCATTCTCTGATATTGCAAAGCCTCCATTTGTATTGCAGCCTTTTCCTCCTGTAACCTGGTAATCATGGCCAGTGCTTGATTCGCTGCAACTGCTGAAGCACTCCGCTCCTCTTCCAATTCCTTATACAGAAGATGCATGGACTTCCTATCTAACTCAACCTGTCTCTTCAACCGATCTATGGGACTTAATCCCTCAATTTCACCAACCGTACTCCCATCAAGTGACTCAAAACCAGACTCATTTCTGTCAATAGAAAGCCTCTTTGTAATGTTCTGCAATATAACCGAGCTAGAAGCATCAGAAAATTTCAAATCATCTCCTTGCCCCTGAACTCTAGGACTAGGAGTCAACTCTCTCCAGGGGCTATCAAGCCCTCGAGCAGCAGAAAAGTGTGATATTAGTATCCTTAGATCTTCATAGGCTCTAGAAGAATCACGGCCCGTGATTACTTCGCTAACTGTAGGGGATCTCAAGCTTCCCTTACTATTGGTAGCAAGCTTGTAAGCATCATCTAGATCCATCTGAATGGGGACAGATGGAACAGTATCCCTCGTAATTTGACTTGTGGAAATAGTTGAAGCAGATTCACTGCAATTCTTAGAACCATTTACTGGAAAACAGAACAGTCTAGAGAAGAATCAGAAAATAAAAAAATAAAAAAATAAAAAATGGAAAATATGACTAATCTGCGGTGACAAAAAAATAAAAATAAAAGACAAGCTCACATTTCACATGTGAAAATTCTGAAGCATCTTTTTGGGATACGTTTTTGTTCCAGTTGGTTTCGTCTGTGTCATTGGTTACAGCATCAGTGGATGCAGAAGATGCATCGCGAGCCTCATGAACATGCACTAGTTGATCTCCTTTGATGGGCAAAGAGGACTCAGGCTCACTAGTAGTTGGCTGAATCAACTTATCCACGGCTGTACCATCTGATAGAGGCATTGACAAATTATCGGGTATAATGGCAGCATGCTCTGAGCTTAGACATCGATCTTCATGGTCTTCCTTGAGGTCATGAGCTAGATGATTTCCATCAGCATCATCTGAAAATGGGTTTTCTGACTCAGAGTCAGAGGTGACCTTAACTCCATTATGTCCTTCATACATTTTATTGCCCTCAGCATGGCTTACATCACAATGAGACAAAGAAGAGATCTCTGATTTATGAGAACCACAAATTAAACCCCAATAGAACCTTGGTTCCCCATCACCAAAAATATGATCCAGCCTTGAGCACACCAAGCAAGGAGTTTGTAGTTCACAATAACGAGCAAATTTTGTGACGAGGAACGAAAAAAGGGCATTGAGAAACAACAGTAGCATCAGTAACCATTCGAAGACAGCGGAGGATAGAACTGATAGTAATGGGAAAGAACCCTTCTGCCCGCCAATATGACACCCTGAAGGCATCGGAACGAATTCCCCCGAAACTGAATTTGATTCTGAAATTTCAAAACATCGTTAATCTAAGAACACAAACAGCTACTCGAGATAAAGAGGAAACAAATCATGCTTGTATTCAGGTACAAAATCCCCCCCTTTTTTCCTTTTCTACAGAGGTGGCTTTGATTAGAGGACTGATAACTAAAAAGAAGTAGTGATCAACAATAACCTATTAAAAATTGATTACCTACTTAACTTCATTGAAGAGCTTACAGACAGCAAAATGAACTAAAACAAACAATCAAAAATGAGAAAAGCAGGAACTTTGGGTGATCACAAAATTTATTGCTCAACTCAAATCCCTGCCCAACTCCCAAATTCAATAAATCAGACAAGGATCAGACCATCTAAGCATAACTATTTAGAAAGAAAAGTCAACTTACCCAAAATTACGCTTAAGAATCGAATTAAGAACAGCGCAAAGCTTCGAAATTTGTCGAACAACTAGCAATTGAGGAGAGGAGAGATCGAGCGCTAGGGTTTGAAAACAGGAGCAACAGATGACTGGAGCTTTTTAATGGTTGAGCGCTGGGTCTCAGCTGCGTGTCCTTCACAATTACATTTTAAAAGCTGACGTCGACAGGCAAAGTCGGCTGGAATCGCAGATAACGACACGATTTCCAACTGAAGCCTTAAATTTTCTGGTAAACAAAATTTCAACTATTTACAGCAAAATTTTCATGAAAAAAAAAAATTTGGCTGAACAATTTGCGAGATTAAAGGGTTTTGAGAACATGAAATTTCAAAAACCATTGATTTCCTTTTGGAAATATAACAGAAAAAAGTAAGACTCTAATTGACTGATAGGATATTCTTATTCTTTCAAATTCTAATCTAAGTTATGAAAAGGCTTACTTGCACTTAAATATCCTATACGGCTATACTATCCCCTATTTTGTGCTTATATACCTTCACTTGTTTTAGGCAGTAATTATATACCCTAAGGCCTTGTTTGTCAAAGGGTTAAAAAAAAAGATTAAGGAGAAGGGTTAACTTAGTTAATCTATCGTGAATGGTTAAAAATATTCTTATTCTGTTTAGATTCGATAGTTAAATCAAGGGGCTAAGTCTTTTGTGTTTGGCGAATGAAGAAGGGCTAAGGAGATTAATCTCTTTTTTTTTTAAATACCACTTTTGCCTTTACTGAAAATTTATAAATAATTGTCTCATTAAAATAAAAGGAGCTTGAATTTATGAAAATTTATAAATAATTGCATGTTCTGCTTGTTGGCATCCAATAATACCAATTCGCAATAATCAATAAGATATGAACATAAAACTTTGGGTTGAATTAAAATAATAGCAAGTATAGGCTAGTAGAAAGGGGAAACTTATATGTTTTCAATTGTTTAAATGAGCCAAGATTGTCAAGCATATTCTTAAAATAAGCATATGTTTTTACAACATAAGATGAGTAAGCTCAATTATTAAAATAAGCTTATGTTTTTATTCAGTTGTTAGGCATTCGTTGTTTCAGGCAACATATATTATTGTGATATATTACTGTATATTCTAGAAATTCCAGGTCTAGCAAGCTTGATAAATACCTCTTAATAGATAATAATAATATAGAAATGATCACAAATTATATTTTACTTGAGTCTAAAATGCTTTACCCAAACTTCCAACGTAAGCCTCAGTCTCATTTCTCGCGCTCCTCTCTCTCTCTCTCTCTCTCTCTCTCTCTCTCTCTCTCTCTCTCTCTCTCCTCGAAAAAAGCCCTAGAAATTAGGGCAAACAGAGAAGGAGAGAGTCGATCATGGCGAGATCCTCTGGTTCTTCTTCGTCGCTCTTCTCCTCCCTCCTCTACTTCGGCCTCTCCATCACTCCTTTATTCTTCCTCTCTACCAGCGAGGAAACCCCTTTCAGAGGTAATTTCTAGGGCCTTGATATTGTGCGCAGTGGAAATTTCGGCAGCACCTCTGGTGCTCGACAAGAGAGTAGATCTCAACTAAATCTCTGTTTCACAAAGAAAATAAAAACCGAAAGTAAAATATCTCAACAAAGTGGGATATCAGCTCTTCCTCTCATCAGTTCTAGGACTGACATGTCGAGGGAACCTAAACAAACTATTACAAATCATGACACAAACAATCAATTTTAACGTGGTTCGGCAAGTTGCATACGTCCACGTGACAAGGAGGGGGGAGATCTACTATTAGAGGGAAAGAAAATACAAATATGGTTTACAATCACACAATATCTCATAAATAAAACCCTCAAACAATCTCTTGAATCTCTCACAATTTCTCTCTCAAAAGGGATGCACAAGCCCTCACAAAGTCGGCACGGAAGACTGCTCAAGATCTTCTCTCAAAGTTGGCTCCTCTGCTTTTTGCGTTCTCCCTTTGCCTCTGTCAATTTTTCTCCTTGCACATAACCCTAGGAACTGCTACAAAAAACTATATATATCATATCAATTTGGGTGGCCCCCACATGCTTAGGCCTCCCACGCGGAAACGAAGCTGCTGAACGTGGGTGTGGCTACATTTATAGCTTCAATATTCGGGTCGTGGTCTCCACGCGGTTTGCTTTGCTTTTGCTGCTCTCCGCTATCTCTTCACGCGTTCGTTGATGGAGTAGTTTCGCACACGTGGGTGGCCCCCACGTCATCCCCACTTCGTTCGTTCACAGCCCCCACGTCGTCTCGTCCCCACTTCGTTCATAATTCTCCACCTCGGTAAAGTTTTCCCAAAACTGAGCCGACACCAACCAAACCAAATGTCTCACTTGTTGCGTCCAGTATGAAGTAAAACAATTCACGACAACGGACTAAATCCACAAGAAGTCGAGAACTCAAATGAGAATGCAAACACTCCCAAATGTCGGTATCAACTCACCAAATCGGCTGCATTATAAAGACTGCCTACGTATCCTCTTGCCCAAGGAATTAAGCCACATGTAGTTCACCCAAATGGCCGCGAACGACCTCAATCCAATAGAAGAGTTTGCAACCCTTCTCTAATACCATCAACTCTGCGGCTGATAGCACCTCCAATGGCCTCAAAGTGTAACGAATCAAACACCTCCACCTGAGGGCTGATAGCACCTCCAATGGCCTCAAAGTGTAACGAATCAAACACCTCCACCTGAGGTGAACCAATTGTCATATCCAAACTACATCTATCAACTGCACTCGAATCAAAACTCAACTCATCATCTGTATCCATAACCAATTGATCCCCAAGCTGTGTCACCTCAACTAGAATCCCAAACAATACAGAATGATCTGGAGTATGTGGAGTAATCTCCACCCAATGTGAAGTAGCATCACTCTCCACCTGTTGTGATACATCTATGATCTGTCCAAAACTCTCCACCTGTTGAGAGTTAATAGGCTCCCTCATCGAAGCCTCATCCAATGTGACATTAACAGACCAAATATCCAATTGAGTTTTACCTCCAATCACAGCAGTTGACAACTCTTTAATAGGATGATCCAAATATGTCGAAGCCTCAGTCCAGAAACTCTTATGCACACCATTGCTTGACAACAAACACCGATCTTCCTCCAGCAAGGCACAGTTCTCCAAATTTGTCACCCTATCTAGTTTCTCCAAGATTTCTTTTCCAACAAAGTGTCTCAAAATGTCATGAGCTCGGCTCCAAAACAGAAACAGGTCCATGTTGTACCTCTCACGAAAACCTGAATGAAGTACCTTCACTTTTCTGCCAATCTCACACTTCTTCAATCTGTTGGAGACTACTAGGAATTTATCCAAATGGGATTTAGTTGCAACCCAAACACGCCTAGAACAGCCACCAACAAAGAAAACCAAACATCTATTTCCTCTCCCAATGATGTCTCCTTGGAAGGCCCCCAAACATCCACGTGAACCCCATCTGAAAGACCATCCGTGCGGTGAATAGAGGTGCCAAACTTCACCTTGGTCTTCTTGCTCACATCAAAGTGTTCACTGGATTTTAAATTGTAGGTCAATGCACCCATCTCTAAATCAATACTGGAATGACTAAGCCCAAATGTAACAGTCTAGTCGAATCAACAGAAGTCGTCTGCTCTCTACCTGTCACTGTATCTCCAATCAAATAGTACAGGTTATTCCTCCTGACACCCTTCATCGCAATCAAAGAGTCTTCCACGATCTCGAGAACCATGTCCTCAACACGAACCTTCAGACCCTCTCCAACCAAGAGAACCATGTCCTCAACACGAACCTTCAGACCCTCTCCAACCAAAGCTCCAATTGAGATCAAGTTCTTTCTCAAGGAAGGGACATATCTCACATCATAGACCCTCTCCAACCAAAGCTCCAATTGAGATCAAGTTCTTTCTCAAGGAAGGGACATATCTCACATCATATAACTCTCTAACAGTCCCATCAAACATCTTGATGCGAATGTTGGACCCTAGAGGGGGGTGATTAGGGTCTTGAGGCAATAATAGTGCAATAAAAATTATGACAAGAAATACACCACAAAATGAAAAGCTAAAGTAAAAGAGATAAGGTAAGAAATTGTTATCCAAGTGACGCGTGATATGTTCACGAGGTTCGGTCCGCTGATCTACGTCCCCGCTCCCCACTCTCGATGAGAATCCACTACACAACCCGGTTTGGAAGCTAGAACTTCTTCTACACAATTATCTCCATGAGATCTCACACCCACACAATTGATCTCCACGAGATTTAGCTCACAACAATAGTAAATGATGTAAAATCTCTCTCTTTATAGTAGCCCTATGGCAAGGAGAAAGGTTGCACTTGAAGATTGAGATGTGAACTTAGAAAACAGTGAAGAACGGGAATGAAAAATTAGGCTCTTTTGAAAACAGTAAACAAAACACAAAGGATTTGCAATGAGCTTAGGTTGTCTGAAGAAGAGGGATATGAGGGTTTAAATAGGAAGAAGAACAGCAGCCAAAACCCCCAACCAAATCTCCTAAAAATCAGAGAATCGGATTTTCTGATTCTGTACCAAAAAAACCGTTGGGCGATCGGCGGTCGACCGTGAGAATTTTATGGTCAACCGCGTAGGTTTTCAAAGCTGAGAAAAGTTTCTGTAAAGGCTACGGTCGACCATCACGGTCGACCGTGAGAACTCCAGAAAGTTTCTGTAATCAGTTCGGTCGACCATGACGGTCGACCACAGGAAGTCCCGAGCTCTCTGTAATAGAGGCGGTCGACCGTCACGGTCGACCGCACATGTTTCTGTTGGCTCTTGAGGGAAATACACTGACACGGTCGACTGTGGTGGTCGATCGTGAACTAACATAGCTGATACATGTTTTTAAAAACTGTTTTTGACACTTTAGAAAATTTGTAAAAATACTCAAATGATTTCTAAAATTTGTATAACTTTGTAAAATATTTTTATCACTAAAAACAAATTGTTTTAAAAAGGAATTTTGCGAATAGGTCCTTATACTTGTGAAAACCCATATTTTGATAAAACCGTCAAAACTATGAGTATGAAAATATATGTGTGATATCCCAATAGCTTTAAATAAAATCTATAACTACTTGCCTACATTTTAGCACTAGAGAGAAAATAAAAATAAAAAATATCTCTCACATAGAAATATATTTCTTGAGTCTTGATATTACTTTAGAATTGATGAAGCTTCTCATAGCGTTTAGTGTTCTTGATAAACATTGCTTCATCACTTTGCCTCCTCCTCCTTTAGATAACGTCGTTATAGCTCATATTTCACCCTAATCCTTCATAAATGGTACTAACTAGCTTGGTATTTATATTATCTACAATTTCACTTAATA